TCACAAAGTTACTCTGTACCAGCATGGCTGAGTCTCCTCAAGCTGCTTGAGGTCAGTTATGTAATTGCTCTTTGCAGATAAGAATTAATTAGTCTGATTATTTTTCATAGCTTTTGGATGGGTTCCCCACCTGGAGAGGAGCAATTCCTCTGTGTCAGTGATTGATTGCTGAGGCAGAAGCTTTCTGCCTTGCACTTTTAAGAAATGCTGACTGGTTCTTTGGGTCATGTTAGGAAGCAGGCAGCCTGTGGTTAGAATGCAAAGGATAATAAAGCAGTTCTATAAATGAGCTGGCCAGCCCAGCTGCTGGGGGGCTTTGGCTTGTGCACTGCTCATTTCCCTTCTCTCTCAGGTAAATAGCATGTTAACAAATGACAGGTCAGGTAGCTGTGTTTGCCCTCCTCCTGCAAAAAAATGCATTCTTCTGGATGTCTTTTTCTAGGTTTTTTAAGAGTATTGCATTTCACAGCTTTATTACTTAAAGAGGTGTGAAAGTCATCCATAAAGGAAAAAATGCTAACATTTGAGATACAGCTGTTTATTTTCTCCTGTTATTATTAAAGTCACTTCAGGAACTGTCTGGGTGTATCTGGGGAGCTTCCCACCATCCCAACCATTTGCTGTTTTCAATAATTTGCAGTAATTACACAGTGCTTTTTTAACACTTTCCCCTTGACCAAAATGCATTTGTGAGAAAGTGAGTAAATCACAGCATGAGTCCTGCTAAGTTTTACAGGTTGTTAAATTTAAGCACGTGAAGAGCTCCAGGACAGTTATTGGGATTACTCAAAAATGTGGCTGTGGGTTTGAGGCTGTGTTGGAGGAAGCTGTTACTGCTTACAAGGGGCTTCTCACTTAGGGAAAGGAAAAAATGTGTTTGTCAGGTGCAGGGATATGAATGTGGGAAATCTTCATTCATTTGTGCAGGGTCTGGTATTTGAAGGGCTTATTTTGTTACATCACACATGAATGTTACCGAGGTGGTTCTGACAGTTAACTTCGTAGGATTTTGTTTAATAAAAATCAAATCTCACTAGAAGCCTGGGACACTTGCTGTAATAAAAAGATTATGGGTAGCTCCTGATAGCTTTTAAAAGCTGTTTAATTGCTGGTTGTGTCAAAGTAAGCAATTAAGGTCACTTAATCTACTTGATTATTCATCATATTCCTCTAGTAGTACTTTGTGCTTGGGTTCTGTGAAAATGTGCATCTTGAGAAGCTGCTGCACTCATTCATAGCCCTCAGTACAGGCACATATAATAAGAAAACCCAAGAAAAGAAACTTCATTCTCTGGCAACAACAATCTATGGCAGCTGTAAATTAATACTCTTGTGTTGTTACAGTGTGAGCTTCAAGGAAAAAATGAAAAAGTCTAAAAATGTGTAGTCATTTAAAGGCAGGTTGGTCACATAAAACAGTATTAATGGATTAGCTCTTAGCTGGTACTTACACATTTCTGTTAAACTCAGGCCAGATTGTTTTAAGATTAGATGATACAGGTTCTTCATTCCTGTGATGTAGTCAGATACTGCTGCATAATATGATGGGGACTGGATAACACTGGGCTACTTGTCATGAAGTAGAAAAATGTAAGAAGTGCTTTGAGAACTTTTTTAGTGACAGTGGCCATTGGAGAAGTTTAATCATCGTTGGGATGATTAAATTTTGATCAGTAGCTTCATTCTATCCTGAATAGTTAAAGTGGATGTAAGGCAGGCAGAGAAAAAGGCCTTTTGCTTTCAGTCAGCTGGCAGGGGAAAAAAAGGTGTGAAAGAGGATGTATCTGCAGTGCAGCTCTGACATCAGGGCCAGGTTTTGTTCAGCTAGTGGATCTTTGGGGAACTCAGACACCCAGAGCAGCACTGGAGAATGATCTGTGTGAGCTGTTCCCCACATGTACCTGATTCCTGCTCTGTGCAGCACGGACCAGACCTGCACATGGGCAGGTCGGGGTGACCTGTACCTGTGCTGTTGTGATCACAAAGAAAGTGACTAAATCTGCTCCAATTTAGAAAAACGTGGCCACAAAGATCTCAGCTGTCCTTTTGAAACGAATGGAGGTTCTGACAATGGGGTCTGATGTTTGCTCTGCAGTGCTGCAAAAGCAAACAGCCCTTCTACCGGTGTTCAGTTCCTTTACATAGAACAACTTAGTGATGGTGGGACCCTTAGAAGGAGATTTCAGTGCAGACAGACTGCAAAACTTCAGCATTCCAGGTCAATTGCTGTGTTCTCTGTGCTGTTCTGTATGAACAGGACAGAATTTATATCAGCTTTGTGAATTCAGTACTGCTTGTTATTAATGAATTAATACAAATTAAGAAAGCTGTGATTCACATGACGGAAAACGGTGAAGTAGCAGCAGTGCCTTTAACTTCTGCAAACTGAGCAACCATCAGGGTGCTGAAAAGTGCTGCTGGCCCGATGGAAATTCAGCTGCTGCTCTCCCATTCTGCTGGTTTTCTCCCCCTGCAGGTGTGGGGTGTGTCAGGAGATGGCAGTCCATGGGGCAGTTCCAGCCAGCAGACCCTCAGGATCCCAAACCGATTGTTAGCAAAGCAGGCACAACATTTCTGTAGCCAGCAGAGCCAAGGCATAAAAACAAGCTGAGAATCAGGGAGTCATAACTGGCTCTCTGATGCTCCACATTTTCTGTGCCAAACATATGTTGGTATAGAAGAGTCTGATTCTAAATACCAAAGTGTGGGCAAGATTTAACTAAAGTTTTCTTTAAAAGAAACCAAAGCTCTAAACTGTTGCTATATTTTACTGCATATGCTGTGCGTATGAGATTGTATAAATGGACTGAACCAGTATGGAATTACGTTGTAGCTGCCTATGAGAAGTGCTGATACAATCCTCATGATAAAAGTAAGGTTTGCTGTCACTTTGCAGGCAGGAGCTACCATGTTCTTTTCCTAAGCATTCACAAAATAGTTCTACAGTTGAAGATCTGTTGACTCAAATGTGCAAACCCAAAAGTTTCAATTTCAACTTTACTGCTGGATGTTTGTTAGCAGGCTGTTTTTTGTCTGAAGTGTAAAAATGTTTAATGTCTTACGAATTCACAGAATTGGTTTGGGTTGGAAGGGACCTAAAGTGCATCACATTCCCACCCCCTGCCATGGGCAGGAGCACCTTCCACCAAATCCGGCTGCTCCAAGCCTCATCCAACCTGGCCTTGAATACATCCAGGGATGGGGCAGCCACAGCTTCTCTGGACAGTTATTTTTATTAATAAAAAATAGTAAGCTTCAGTACTGTAAAAAACCCAAACAACACAACCCTCTTCTCAACAAACCGTGGTGACGTTATGGTGACATGTTTGCAGTAGCTGTGCTGGTAAATAGGCACGAATGCATTTTAGCACCCTCTTTGCAGTTTATAGCCAAAAGTGTTAAATAGTTTACTTTTCAGTTTTGACAGCGCCTGCTCCTGTAACAATGAGTGTTTGAATCAGGTAACACTTTCATTGAAGATGCTGCGTTTGACGAACTGTGTACAATTAATGCCATTTTTGGTAGCCTGTGACATCTTCAAGTGGAAGTTGGCTGTGGGTTCTCAGTGTTTCCATGCTGGTACCTGTGCCGTTCCCTCCTGTGTGCCGTGTCCTCGGAGCAGCGGCACTCAGCGCTCGGTGTCTGGGTGTTCGTGTCAGGTCACTCGCTCGCTCCTTGTGCCCTAGTTCCTCTGAGAAAACTGGGGCTGAGCCGAGGTGTGTGCACAAATGCAGCCTGCCTTACCTGCAACTTGTACATTTTCCATGGGTGTTACAAAACTCTGACAAGGCGGAGTTACCTTTAGGTTTAAAATGACCCTCAAAAAGGTGTCAGATATGTATGAGGCATCAAACTCACAGCTTTACTTTTATTTGTTAATAATACGGTATTTTGAGGCTAAATTTGAGCAGTTACCCGGCACTCTCCTAGTGGTTCTTGCTCACCCTCTAGCACAATTTGTCTCCTTGCATTTATTCCATTCTCGATTCTTCCCCCTCTCCCCCCGAGGCCGGTGCCGTTCCTGAGGGCGCTGCTGGCGGGCGGCAGGTGCGGGGCCCTGGTCCCCGCCGGAGGCTGCAGGTGCCCGAGAGGGAGGGAAGGGAGTGCGGGGACCCGTGGCCGGCAGGGGCGGCCGTCCCAGAGCCGGCTCCGTCCCTCCGCTCCCCTCCCCTCCCTTCCTTCGCTGCCGGCGGGCGGGAGGTGCTGCCCGGGCAGCTCCGCCCCGCTCCCCGCGCGCGGCTCCGCTCCGCGTTTTCCGGGCCGCGCCCCTGCGCTCGTGCGCCGACACTCGGACGTGCGGGGCCGGCGCCGCTCGCCATTGGCCGCGCCGCCGTAGCCCCATGGGCGTGCGGGCCGCGCATTGGCCGCGCGCGCTGTCAATCAGCGCGTGGCTGCGTCAGGGCCGGGTGCGCGGCCCCGTTCCCTGCTGTGTGCGGGGCCGGCGCGGGGCCGGTGCGGGCGGGGCCGCGCCTCGCTCGTCCCTCGCTAAGATGGCGGCGGCGGCGGCGGCGGCGGCCGTGGCGCGGCTCGAGGGCCGGGAGTTCGAGTACCTCATGAAGAAGCGCTCGGTGACCATCGGCCGCAACTCGTCGCAGGGCTCGGTGGACGTGAGCATGGGCCACTCCAGCTTCATCTCCCGCCGCCACCTCGAGATCTTCACCGCCGCGCCCCCGCCGCCGCCGGCCGGCGCGGACGGGCCGCCGCCCCCGCCGCAGGGAGACCCCTCGGGCGGAGCGGGGGGCGACTTCTACCTGCGCTGCCTCGGCAAGAACGGCGTTTTCGTGGACGGCGTGTTCCAGCGGCGCGGGGCGCCGCCGCTGCAGCTGCCGCGAGTGTGAGTACGCGGGGCCGGCGCTCCGGGGCCCGCCGGAGGCCGCGGGTGCACATGGCGTGTGACAGGCGAGAGCGGCCCCGTCCTGCCCGCGCCTCCGCCGGCACCGCCCGGCACCGCCGCCGTGCCCTCCGCCGTGTCCTTCCCCCGCGCGGAGCGCCCGGTGCGGGCTGGAGCGGCCCCGGCGCTGTTGAACGGAACGGGGTGCACCCCGAGTCCTGTTTGCGGGTGTCAGAGGAAGCCAGCTGGGCTGTTCTGCCCGGGTTTGGGCTGTCGGGGTTGAGGATCAGCGCTGGGGGAATCCTGTAGCCCCCTCGGTTCTTTGGCAGAACCGGGGGGGTTGTTCTCTCTCGGTGCTTTGGGGGTTGTTCTGGTTTTGTTGGTAGTTTCTGCTCTTTTGCCTAATTTTAACGTTTATTCTTATGGGTAAAATGAATCATCCACGTGAAATGCTTCTGCTGGCCTTAGCGTTTTAAAATGTTTTTGTTACGTGACAACAAATGTATTAAGAGGTTTTAAACGGTAATACATTCCTTTGCCATTACCAAACATTAACTGTCTGTGCAAAATGATTTTCTAGGGCAATACGTGAGACTTGCCCACGACATTTAAGGATGTGTTGAACTGTAAATAAGTGATCTGTGCTCTGAGGAGTCACATGTAGGAAAAGTGAAAGTGTTTTGGTTTAGTGTATTTTAGCTGCCTTGACTAAGAAATACCTAAAACGTTACGAATGCTGAACCTTTATAAAGCATATGCTATCAGTGACACAGCCTTAATGCCCTACAAGCTTTAAAACTGTTTTTAGGACATTGATGGTGTATATTTTCTGCTGTGTTGGCCTAATGCTAGTTTTCTCACCTGGTTTCTCTGTGAAAATCAAATTGTCTTACCTTGCTGCTTTCTAGGAAATGCTCATTCTTAAGGGCTTTAACAGTGCCAGTGTGTAATCCTGAATATAGGAGGACTTGTTTGACCTTTAACTGTCACTTCTATTTTTGCTTTCTGCTTTTAATATTAATAGTTATTTGGCATGTGGTTAATCTGTCTTTTAATGTAACACATTTATTAAATATAGATCAAATACTTTTCTCTTTGTAAGCACTGTGGTATAATATACTATTTGTAAGCACAATTGTGCACGGTCTGTGTTGATTTCAAACAGTCTAGAATTAGTTGGAGTAATTGAGTCAGTAACGTTTTGTTCAATGCTTAAGACCTGAGGAAAAACAAAGTACTTCTTCTTCATGCTGTCCACTGATTTTTAATTTATTCTAGTTCTTTCCATCAATGTCTCTTTTCAAGTGGAAAGAAGATTGAGAAGGATTTTTTTGTCTCACTTTTTAATTGAATAATGTTGAGAAGTTGTGTGTAGTTAAAATTTCTTCACAAGTGAACGTGGGTGGTGGTGCAGGAACTGGCATTTGCGGTGTTCAGAGGTGACACCATTCCTTGGGCTGTGCACACACAGCCCTGAGTTTGCAGAGCTGTGAGCTGGTGGAAGTTATCTCCTGGTTGCAAATTGTAGCTATAGCTAGGAAATAGCAGGTGCCCCTGGCCAGGAGCTGGAGCCACCATGTAGAGGGGTGAGCATCACCTTGAAGGGCAGGAAGAGCTTACAGCCCCAGAGTTACACTGGTGATTAAGTGCAAATGCTACTTTGTTGCTATTAAAAAAATAAGCCTGTTTCTAAAACACAAGTTTTACTGGGGATGAATGGGGAAATAGTAGTTTCATTATTTGCAAAGTTGTTTTTTTTTGAACAGTAGTCTTCAGGCAAGAAGTCACAGTACTTCAAAGTACTGTCTGCTCCTAGCATGTCCTTACTGTCACTTGCTGATGACTAATATTGTTTGTAGTCCTGTTCTTGAGTTTTGTTGTAGATTTAACTGGTCATACTGAAGGTGGTCTCCTGGGTTTTAAGAGTCAAACTTACTTCAGTATAATGTAAACATTAATTAATGGTTGAAGTATGATGGGAAAGAAAGTAGTTTTAATGTGAGCTCAAGATTGATGATTGCCAGCCTCCAGCTCAAGTAATCACCAGATCTATTTTTGTTGTTGTTTAATCCTTCTCTGTTGCCAGTAATAAATATGCTTTGCCTATGACTACACAATCATCGGAAATTTTAATAGCAGGTGAAGTTTAAAAAATTTAGGGTGGCCTGTTCCTTCTGTTTGTTTTTAAGTGATCCTGGAAACCAAGAATGGAGGGTCCATCTCTGTTTTGTCTGTTTAATAGTGATTTACAAATGTGCCAAGTACAGTACCCTTACAGACTTGAAATGTCTTATTTGCTTGTCACTAAAAATTGTATGTAGTTACAGTGTCCTTGGCCTTTTATGTTTCAGCACAATGTTTAAATCTGACTGCATTAATAATGTTACTAAATTCCTTGTTTTCGGAGGGAAAACCCAGAAATGCACCTTGCAAAACACATTTTAAACATCTGGGGAAATTAAATTATTAATGTTAGAGTATACACTTACCTGTAATAAAGGCATCTTTTTTCTACAGATAGAAATGTCATGAAACATGGAATTACTGTGCATTAAGATAAGTGTTCTGGTTGCTATTTTTAATGATTCCCTGGAAGCCTCACTGGCAATTCAAATGTTGAAGTTATCAAGCAGGAGGTAATAGCAGTGGGAAGTGTGTTTTTGTTTTTGCAGTTCTTGACAGACTCCCATCCCTACTTGTGTATGTACAAACCAGCTGTCGTCTTGTGAGATGAATCAAGTGGGGGTGGGGAGAAAAGAGCCATTTTTGAGTGTGTCCAGCAAGGAGCTCTCCTGTCAATGTCATGGCACACGTGGGATGAAAGAGGTTTCAGAGGCTCCTGCTCAAGACACCCAGATCAAAGCAGTGCAATTATTCTTCTACAACTACCTTTGAGATGCGCAGACTGTTCCTCTCCGGTTCGTAAAGTTCATGTTTTTTAATTGATTTTATTTGCTGCTTGTGGAATTTCCCCTGTCTTCAGTGAAAGCATTGATTGGATATATTGCTAGGTAAATCATAACATCAATATTTGCTTTTGAGGTACTTGGCTGGAAAAATACCTTTTGTGCTGGGCAGAGCAGCGGTTGTTGCCGGAGCTGTTGTGTACAGCTTTTGGAGAGGCAGGATTCCAGACAGATGTAACTGATACAGCTGGAAAAACAGACAGACTTCTGGGTACAACCCTGCTCTGAAGGAGTGCTTTTGTTTTGTTTTGATTTTTGGGTTTCTTGGATGTGCTTTGTGTATTGGCCTTTGAATTCACAGAATTCCGGACATGTTGGACTTCACTGTTCTGAGGCAGTCTTATTCATTTTGACAAACCCATGAATTTTGTATTTTAGTCATTACTTTCAGTTTTGCTTTTGTGGAAGTAATTTGTGGTTCATAAACAAGATACCATGAACATAGGAACAGCATTTTTAAGTCAGATAAGAGATGCATTTAGTCCATGATGTGCCTTCAGGAGTGGTCAGTAGCAGATACCCAGGAAGGAGCATAAAAATGGATTATACACATGGTTGTGTTTCCCTTCGCATTTCTTTTGGATCTAAAGTCAGAGATCAATTCTTTCTGAGTTAAAGCAATTTACTGTTTGCATTTTTTTTCTCTCTTTTTTCTTAGTAGTTGAGTTTGGGTAAACCTCTTCTATCCACAGTGTCTTGGGTAGTGAATTCTGCAATGTAATTGGAGTCCATGTTGGGAAAAATACCTCTTTTTGCTGAGTTTTTGGAACTTGATGCCTGGTAATTTAATTTGATCTAACTAAAGCTCTTTTATAGTAAGAGACAGTAAATAACTCTCCCATTCTGTCATTCATTCTGCAGACTCTTTTACATTACTAAGTGTGGGCGCTTTTACAGTAAATGACATCAAGTACATTTTACTTTAACTTAACATTTACTGACTAATCCTAAATAAAGCCTCTGTAGCTGAAAACTAAAATTTAATTTGTTTATATTCTGCTTTTCCTCCTGCTAATACAGAGGGCTGAACCAATAGTTTTAGCTTGGTCTTGTAGTCTGGAGCTACAAGCTGGGATTATTGCTGCCTTTAAGCAGTAGAAGTTCTGCTGATGAAAGCTGGTTGATTCTGAACAAGGATCAAGTATGTATATTCCCTGAGTCAGTTATTTAGAAAAGTTTATTGTGTTCAGTGTTACCTGCCCAGGAAACAGATTATAAAGAGCCTCAAATGTATCAATGCACTTTTTTCTGTCATCTAATTGCAGTTACTTAAATTATGTTCAAAGTTGTGATGTCTGTGTGGTTGGGGCTGTGACTGCACATGTGCTTCATGGAAATTTCTCACTGGAAACATCTGCGGTTTGGCTTAAGAGTGGAGGTGAAAGGATCATAACATTTTCTTGGGTAGTGTTCTGTGGTAGCTAAGGAAGAACTTTCATTGCTTGGGTTTGGGTTATGGTTTATGTTCTAAAGGTTTTCTTATGAATATAACTGTTAGATACGTAGAGCAATCAAACAAAACACATGCTGGAAGGAATTAGTGTTAATATATTCTTGCAGTCTATACTTACAGTGTGCTGTAAGTCCCTCAGGCTGTGTGGGCACCTGCTTTCTCCCTTCCTTGACACCACTTCAGACACAGACAGTGGCTTGTCAGGGCGACAGCTGCCTGCGAGTTCTGGAGACCTTGTGATTGCCTGGTGTTCAGAGATGTGTTTTGGAGCTCCATACCATAACTCCTGTACAAAAACTATCAATTACAAATTACCTCAGAGCATAGAACTAAGGAACATTGGACTTGGCTGTGACTTGAGAGATTCAGACTCCAGAAACTTTTATTTACTGTCTCTGGCAGGTGCTGGTCCTGTGCCATAGTGACTAATAAGGTCAGGGGAGCTGTGTTTATAGGTGGGTTTTGGCTACTTTCAAGTAGGATTTGCAAATGTCAAGCTCGGTAGAAGTAGTGTTCTCACTTAAGCAGATCTGATTGAAAAGGAGCGTAGGAGGAAGGTAGAGCACATATGATTTGAAATGAAAATAGAGATGAGCGGGAAGTTTCTATAGTAATAATTTGTGTTACAGTTGTTTTTGTCATCTTTTTTTTTTATATTTGCCTCTCAATTACACACAGCTTCTGAGTGATTTTTTTTTTAATTAATACAGCAGTGTTGCAAATTGTCAGACACCAATCAGGTGATTGAGGTAAAGCTTAAACAGTTTATATTTGGATTAATTCATACTTGATATGCTTTTTTTGTTGGTATGACTGATATATATATGAAATGTCCTTACCCAGTTCTAGAATTCTACTGATCCTACAAGTGTTCTTACATCTGCAGTTAGTTGTAGGAGTAAGTACATCCTTTGTGTAGTTACATGAAATACTACAAACTGGAAAATCATCTTTATAGTTCTTTATAGTCTGTAAAGTTCCAGTTCTATGACAGAAGCAAGACTGGTGTTATTTTGGTTTAAAGGTCCAAAGTCAGTATCAAAACTGTCTGTTCCAAAAATATGCAGCTGAAAGAGTTTTGAGATTCTTACTTCAGTTATAATAATGAGGTAGGAGATATGCAAATTCAGTTATTCTTTGCATTGATTAAATCAAAATATCAAGGTGCTGTGTTTGAGTGGAAGGATACACTTAATCAATAGCAAAAGTAGTAAGTTAAATGAGCTAATAAAGAAAATAAGTTAGTCTTTCACCTTGGCTTTTCAAAATAAATGTGTATTATTAATTTGCTTATGATTAGGTAAGGGCACTGTCTTACAAATATTATTCCTTCATGAAGGGAGATGTGTTTTAGAGAATAATTCTGCTGTGGAGGTGTTCTTCTGCTGTTGGGTTTTTCTTTTTATTTTTTTGAGCATGTACAATTGTCTTGGACAAAGCAAAAGGTTTTTTACAGTCATACCTGAGCTGTTCAAAATAAGATTATGCTTCTCATTTGCTGTATTTTTCAGTAAATGCAGCAACTCTTCAAAACATCTCAAGTCCCATTAACTTATATAAAAATTATGTAAAATACAGGAAAAAATATCATTTCAGAGAAAACCATGTACTTGTCATGTGGTGTGAGGCCATGGCTTTTGCAGTTATAAGGAGTTTTCACAACAGTTCGCTAATAAGCTGCTGTCTGTGCTGGAATCCTGGGAAGGTGGTGGGTTTATCTGCTGCCTTGCTTGTTTTCATGATAAGAAGTTGATGTGTAGTGACATTTGTTTCCTGCGACTTCCTGCCTTTAAGGAGTTTTTTGACCTAGATAAAGCAGTCGGAGGGGAGGAACCATGTTTATTCTGCAGCTATTCCACATTGGATGGTATAGGAAATAAATGTTCCATTCTCCAGTTAAGATTCCCTCACTGCTGTTTTATCACTAAAGAGAGCGAGGCTTCAGTGAGTTACACTCAGTGAGCGCTTCCAGAGCTGCTGCAAATTTTTTGGCACATCATTTTTTATAGGACAAGAGAAGGTCTGTACATGGTTGGAGTCTGTTTCTTCACGTTTGTGTGCGTGATTCTGCTGCAGCCTCTGCACGTGCTGCTCTGTCCTCTTAGGTACTGCCAAGCAGAAGCTTGGACACAGCTTGGGCTCCGTGTGGTGCGAGGAAAATTTTCAGTATTCAGAATTTCAGAGTGTCTTAATGAATATTAATATGAACTCGGCACCTTTGTGTTTGTCCATGTACACCAAACAAAATGAAGACCATGAGGAGATTGGCAGGCAGTTCTGATCCAAACATTCCTGTTGATCTCAGCAAGGAAGCTCCTGTGGATAAGGATGTGCATGGAATTGAGAGTTTGGAGAGCCAGAGCCAGAGTCCTGTCATTATCAGAGTGTTATGAAGTGGAACAAAATTAGTATAAAGTTGACTGGAATTAATTTTAATTCAGTGCTGATTTAAGGCTTAACTTTCAGAATTACAGAAGGAAGCTCCAGCCAAAGCCTTGCTGAAAGCAGAAGTGACTTCAGTGTTGGATCGGACTTCTCAGCACCTTGTGCATTTGGATTCTCTGGGGATGGCAATAGCTATAACTATGTAAAGTGCTTCATGGAACTACAATCCCATATTGAAAAAAATGTCTGCATTCCCAACAGCAGAATTATGGAATACACTGGCTGGTTAGAATAATGTGCAGCTTTGTGCTAAATTGTGATAAGAAATACCTGATCACTACTGGATTTTGTGTGATGATCTGGAGTAAATGTAATTACTGATAAACATTTATGGTGTTGTAAACACTGTCCTCATAAATAATGAGGACCAAAAAATAGAATTAATCTATTAAAAAGACCCCAAAACTGTGTCATCTGGAAAAGCACACAGGGCAGAACTATAGGGCGGAAAACTGTTCTGAAAAGTAGCAGTAGAGTGAAATCCATGACTGCAGAGATGGTGAGAAGCCTGTTCTGAGATGATGTGTCAAGGCACTGATGTGATGACTGTGTGGAAATTGGGGAGTGGCAGCTGGTGCTGGAGCTTCACATTATTCTGGAATCAAATCTGTGTTAAAGAATCTTGCAAAACTGCAAGGATTTAAGTGGAGAAAAGAACTGAAGGCTGGAAGAAGTCCCAAAGAGTGGGGGACATAAGGGGTTCAGTATGTTTTATTCAAAAGCAGTGTGAGGTGGCTGGGTTGGTATGGGGCTGAATGAGAGTACTAAAGGCTCTCCAATAGATCACACTAAATTGTCAAGGTTTGAATTGAGCTATGTTGCAATAGTTTACTTTCAAGAATGATGGGATATCTATCTCAGCATCTTCCACTGATAAACAAAAAAGTCAGCCCTAGTGATGAGGTACAGAGCAGGTATGGCTGGGTGACATATCATGGCTTAGGGTTACCAGAGGTAAAATTGAAGATTCTTTACTTCCTCTGCAAGTCCTTTTAAATAAACTGTCGTGGGATTATAGCAAGAGACCATTTTATTATGTGTTTTAACAAAGAGT